ATGGATCACGCATTAGAAATGGGACTGTGTTTAGAGAAATACTATTTTCCAGACACTAACAAAAAACAATCTTCCCCATTCCCCCTAAAAAACTTAGGAAGTRAAGATAGATGATTGAATTCTTTGTATGTCTTTTAGATGGCAAGTGGTATTTTTAATTTTTTTTGGTAAAGTATTCATCGTGTACTTTCCTGGGCTTAGCAGCGCTCTGAATGAGAGCAAAATATTACACAGTGGAAAAATGTTTAAGTAAATCTATCTACAGTCTCAGTTCATTCAGTCCTTTCAGTCCATGAGGCATTCAAAGGACATCTCATTTTAAGCCCGAAGGGCTTCTGCCCTTGGACATTTGTCATTGACCCAATAAGGCATTGCCAGAGTACTAGCTTGGCTCCGGTTTGCCTTGCTCTTGTGGATTCTTTTTGGGGGGGGGGCAGTGCTGGGGATTGAACTCAGGAGCACTCAACCACTGAGTCCCATTCCCAGCCCTATTTTGTATTTTTTTTTAAATATATTTTTTTAGTTGTTGGTAGATCTTTATTTTACTTATTTATATGTGGTGCTGAGAATCAAACCCAGTGTCTCACACTTGCCAGTCAAGTATGCTACCACTAAGCTACAGCTCCTACTTTGTATTTTTTTTTTTTAATTAGAGACAGGGTCTCACTAAGTTGCTTAGCRCTTCACTAAGTTGCTGAGGCTGGCTTTGAGCATGCAATCCTCCTGCTTCAGCCTCCCATGCTGCTAGGATTACAGGTGTGTGCCACCTCACCCGGTTCTTGTTGATTCTTAACTCAGGCTGGGGTTTGGGGGATGTGTTACCCATCAGACCCTGAATCAGTAGACCCTGCCAATAACATCCACTTACTTATGAAGAAATCATACACCTGAAGTTTAAGGTGCTTCTTTCTCAAAATGTTCCCAGCAGAGAAAAATAAAAGCAATGGAACGGATGAGGGTGGCATCTAGCTTATTGCCATATGATCTTGAGGTGGGCAGTAAGGGAAGCATTTTGAAATCACTATTCTGAAATCTGAATACAAATTATTTTAACTGTACTGACGGATGTATCACAAAATAAATTACAATCTCATGAATTTCATGTTCTGAGACAAAAATGACCTGTGCCAACTTAGCAGCACAGGGTTATTAGCAGAGCTGGACCTGTAAGCAGTTGTTACCATGAATCTGGTAACAATGATGAGTGAGCCAGACTCTAAGCAACATATCTCTTTTTGTTTTGCCTCCCTGTATCAATGGAAGCCTATTTGAGAAAATGAAATTGCATTAAAAATCTATTTATTATTTATACTCAACTTCCTCCCATAAAGGACATTGAATTAAATGCAAATGAAARCATATTATCCACCAAAACTTCCAAGCAAATATTATTATTCTCTTCAAGATAGCAATTATTTTGAGGAAACCCTGTAATTTTTATGAATCTGTGAATGCAACATGCATTTCTGTGTGCTTTTCTGACAACCAGAAAAATCCATGGGTGGAAGGCACAAGTATTGGGTGGATATGTTCTTGCAAGAGTATCTGTTCTCAGGGTGGCACTGTCAGGAGCTAAAAATGCACACTAAAGGCCAATTTCTAAGTCACTAAGATAGTTCAGTACTCACCCAGCAGATTTCAAAAGCCTGCATTTAAACAGGTAAAATGGTATCCATGCAAGGGGCAATTAACCAAAAAAGTCAAGTGGATCAAACTTTGATAGGATCAAACTTTACACAATCGGTCTAATTGCAAAGTGAATTTTATAGCAGAATTCTATAGCATCATGGCTGAGGACAGGTATACCATGACATATGTTTAGGAGGCCCTTGTAGTAAGTCTCTGTGAGTTTGTATGGGTGCACCTAATCTTGTTTCAAGACATCATCAGCTAGAAAAATCCTTCAAAATGCCTACAGAGGGTGAAAAATGGTTTGCACATCTCCTTAAGAGTCCAAGCATGCTAAGAACAAAGTAACGATGCTGACACTTGCATCAAGACTTAGGTAGAATATCTCTGTTTACAAGGACATACGAAGAGTAGTGTATTATCAGGTAATAGGACAAATGGTTGCTGTTAGGAAGGACAAGCTGCTGCAAAGACCTTGAGGTCTGAGAGTCCATGAAGATGAACAAACATAATGAGAAACCACAATGGATGGTAACTACTAAAATGTGCTAATGAGATAGAAGTCAACAAATTTTGGGGGCATTTTTAGTCATATATCTGCTTATCTCTGCTTTGGCCCATGGAGGGCACAGAATCTATTGGAATTGGCCTTATTTTTACCAGAGAGTTCACAGAATCTTTCACTTTCAAGTTTTTGCTGATTTTCAGACTCTGGAAAATCCAGTATCCTGATTTCGGGAAGTCCTGGTAACATTGCTTTAAACACAAAACTTAAAAAGGAAAAACAGATCCAATCAGTAATTCTATAATTAATCTTGCGTACACTGATTGTTCCACTTCCATTCTTTACTGTTGCAATCTGGATATTGTAATTTCATAAACTGGGTAGTGCATACTTGGGTTAGTCAATTAGCAGTGACTTAATCATGCTTTAAATGTGACCATAAAAGATACTTGCAGTTATTTGACCATTTTCTGCCCACATTTCAAAGCTGCTTCTTTTTTTTTTTCAGATAAAAATAAAAGTTTATTGCTTTCACACAAAATTTTACAGAACTAAAAGAATGTTATAATCATTAACATTAAGCTACTCTTCTAAAATTTTGTAAGGAAGTGGCACATTCAGAAATCAAGTGCTGACAATGTGTCACACAAGCTGTCTCTCTTGGACTGTGGTTTCCATATATATAGGGATAATTGGGGTAAAATATTAAAAAAATTGTTACTTGGAGAGATTCAGGTTCAGGCCAAAAGCTTCTTTTTTTTCTTGTCCTTAGAATTGTAGTTTTTCATTCTTGCTTTCTGACCCCTGGGTTRTAACATGACATAGCATTTTTTACCAACAGGAAAGACCTGACTAAGAAATGGGGTCTCCTTTTGAAAGATGTTTCTTCATTCATCACTAAGGAAACTTGACATCTGCCTGGCATTGCAAGCGCACTTGGGTGAGGCAAGTCCTTAAGTTTTTTCCATTACTCCTATTCACTGCTCCTTTATATTTGTTGCTAAGAGAAAGGACGCTGAAATTGAGCTGTCATTTGGTCAAAATAAGTAAAAGAGGAGCTCTCCTTTGGTTAGGGCTGGATATCAGACAGGGGGAAAGTCTGGAATTTCTCTCCCTTAGGCTAAACTTATGTTTAGATATGTTTGTTGAATGACCGAACAATGAATGCAGTTTGAAGAGCAAAGCTGTTCTCCTAAAGAGCCCCAGGAACACCTCAGACAAAAATTATTTAAACAATTACCTTTAAGGGGAAGTGCCCGTTTCATTTCATTGAATTAACAGATTGCAATTAGCCTGAATTGCTTTCTGATTTTCTTTGTCTGTTTCTGCTCAGTCTCACTTGGGAACATCCCATCTCTTTTTCTGGGTGGCAGACTTCTTGAGGGATAGGGACCATGCTTCCTTCCTTGCTTACTCTGCATGCTTTAAGGCATGACCAAATTTGGCAACCATACTTGGTAAAAGAAGTGCTTGAACTTAATCCATTTAGCAAGGAAAAAATAATACTTTAGACTCAAAGAACCCTGGTTCTGCCCCTTCACCTCTCTGGCCATCAGTTTCTTTTTCCAAAAAATGGAAATGACCCTACCTGTGAATGTCAGCTACTCAGGAGCAGTGAGTATCATCACAAGAGTGGCTTGAAAACCCCTTGTCCCAATGTTAGGGACTTTCAGTACCTATTCCTTTCATTTTGCATTTACTCTTTTAAGAATTTTTATATTTGGGCAGGTCRAGGCAGCACATGCCTATAATCCCAGTTCTCTCGAGGCTGAGGCAGGAGGACAGCAAGTTCCAGGATAGCCTAGGCAACTTAGCAAGATCTTGTCCCAAAAATAAAAAATAAAAAGTGTTGGGGGTGTAGCTCAGTGGGAGAGTGCCCTGGGTTCCTTCTGTAGTACCTACTGCCCATTCTTTCATTTGTCTTCACATGAGGGTGACTATTGAAGAGCAGACCCAAGGGATCTTTATTAAACAGGAGCCTCCACACCCTCCTTCTGTGTTATTACACACACTGGACAGACATCAGTCATACCCTGCAAGAGGTTTACAGGCAGACAGAGGTTTCTTGCCAAAAGTCAGAGATGCCCTCTTTGAATAATATGCCAAGTTTCTATAGGACCCCTTTTGTCACAAGTCTTGTTATTAAACAAATACCTGCAAATGGAGAGATAGTATGAGGCAGCACACTGTGGGTGGGGTGGCAGATGAGCCACCAGCCATTCCACATGTGTCTTTGGAATTTATCACCTTGGAGGGAAAGGATGGGAGCAGAGTTCTTAGAAAAAGGAACGTGGGTCATATCTCACCAGTACCATAGTTCAGAGGGTCCCAGGAGGGCAAAGGGTCTTCACCATAAGCAGAAAAGCACATTGTTCCCTTCAGAACGGGAGAACTCGGCTCACTGCTAATATCATCTGCCCTGGAAGGTGGCAGCAAAAACCCGCCATGAGAATGCAGGCCGCCTGGATGTGTGGGTGCCCCACCCAGAGCCTTTGTCCTCTCTGTCATCTAGCATAGTCTTCCCTAGTTGTTAACTGAAGATCGGGTTCAGGGAAAGGGGACTTGCTTGTTACCTGATATGATAGTGAAGCGGCAAGGCCACCCCCTTTCATATATGTAAAAATACTATTTTGGGGTATACTGTACCATTCCCGTTTACATTTGCATTAGGCCCTTTCCCAATTCTCCTCCTGCTGCCCTTCAGACCACAGCCAATCTCTTTAAAATAGAGGCTATGGCTCAAGATCCATCTGAAAAATTACCTGTGATGGCCTGGGAGAAGAGCAAAATCTCTGAACTGGCTTTCTAGAGATCTGTAACAGATGCCTGAGGAAGGGGCATCGTCTTAAAACAGATAACATATTACCTTTTGTTTTTGCTGGAAGATCCTAAGACCAGATGGAGAAGGTGATTGAGGTCCTTGAGGTAACAGTCTGCCACTCAGTACGACCCACAATTCTGTCCCTTAAGCTACGTGGCTGAGCTCAGGGCGTCGGGGCGCTTGCGTTCCACAGGACTGTTGAAACACCAAGAACAAATCTTTCTTGGACGCAACGGATAGTTCCCGCCTCTCCACCTGTGCTGGAGTCTACTTTAAGAACACCCAACTTTTCTGCCTAAAAGGAAGGCACAGTTCACCATTTACGCTAGGTGGCGCTATTTCTCCCTCATCTGTCCCCTAGGTACCCAATTTATAAAATAAATACAATCCAACGCCTTCTGAAACCACACCACATAATAGCAGCTCACCAGCTCGCATTAAAATCCCGATCTGGGGAAATTGATTCTACCTCCGAGCAAATCTAATGCAATTACATTTAAATGCAATCAAGAGTTGCACCCGAGCGTCCTTCACATAGGTTCTTCGCCTAAATACACCTGTCCTCTTGCCCCAGTTTATAACCTGGGATAAGCCCCTGCTCAAGCCAGGCGCTGAGTTCTCGTGTTGCCCTGGCCGTAGTGTCCTACAGTCCACTTAGAAACACCGAGGTCTCTCGGGAATCCCACCTCTTAGAGCTCAACCCAAGATCCGCACCTTCGGGTAYTTGGACGCTCCCGTGTTGGGACTGCTTATTCCTGAGCCCAGATGGTGCACAACGCCGACGCCCCGTTTAGCAGCTCTTCAACCTCGAACTGAGCGGGAGGCGGGGGCCCTAGCGACACAGGCCAATGGGGGCTCACGTCGGGATAGCCAGGTAGCAGGCTCCGTCCTAGGCTCCGTGGGCCGGGCAGGGCGGCCGCCCCAAAAAGAAAGAACTGCGCGCGAGAGAGACTCCCCCATCCAGGACACGGCGGATTGGACGTGCTCCGGGKCTGCCCAACCACGCGCAATGCCTGCCGCCAGGAGAAGAGTATTTTAGGGGGAAAAAAGAGAACCAACACCAAACCACAAAAACTTTCCTGCTGCCAAGAGCTAAGGCGATCCAGGCGAGGCAAAGCTCCAAATCTGGGCAAGATGAGACGCGGGGTTGGGGAGGACCAAATCAGTGCGGTGGCCCCAGCAAGTGTCGGCGGCGCCTTGGGGATGTCAGAGCCAGCCTGCCCGGCTGCTGGCCCGYGCTTACCTTGGCGGCTGCATGAGCCCCTGCAGCCCGCGGGGGGTGGCGCTGGCGGGGCTGCGGGCTAAGAGCGGGTGCCGGGACTTCGCTCGTCGGCCCAAGGGCAAGAAGGGAGGGGCTCGGCTGGCGCTGGTCCCGCAGCCCCTGCCGGCTCAGAAGCGGCCCGGGGCGCGCCGCCTGCTCCCGGGCTGCATGCCTGCGAGCGCCTGGAGAAGCCGGCCCGGAAGCCTACGGCCAGTGCTTCCCCGGCCCAGCGGCTCGGGCAGCACAGCCCGCGCTTCGGAGACAACTGCAGAGTGGAGCGGCCCCGGCCAGCCCCCTCCCTCACCCTGCCCCCGCCCGCCGCCGCCGCCGAGAGCGGCGTAGCGAGGATCGTTTGCGCGCGGAGGGGAGGGGGCGGGCCGGCTCCCCGGGAGCTGGCGGGGGGCGAGTGCGGGCGGGGCTGGCCAGGAGGTGGGGCGCGGGCTCCGAATGCCCCGCCCCGCCCAGTCACGGCCCCACCCTTCCGTATCAGCACCAGAGGGGTRGGTGGGTGAGTAGGGTGGGATCGGGTGCTCCGGCCGGAAAGTCAAGACTTTCCTTGGGCTCTTGGGATCGGGGGAGGGCGGTGTGAGCTGCAAGTGCAGATCCCCAACCCGCACCTCCAACTTTCSAATCCCCTTCAGGGATGCCGTGGAGTGTACATTTTCCACCTTCAGGCCCATGGTGGTCAAGGGGAAGTTATTCTGAGGTTTCTGGAAAAGACAGTTACATCCAAGAAAAATGCTGCTGTGCTCTGCAGAGATGCACCTTTGTATTCTGTTGAGATATAAGAATCTTCTTAAAAAAAACACAAGAATGCATATGTATTACATGCGCGATGCACAAATATATTCTTGGTTGCAATTTTACACAAATCAGGAGTATTTAGAGTAAAAAGGCCACATCCTACGCCCTCCCCATTGCAGCCCATCCCCAGAGGTAACTTTCGGTCAGAGTGTGCTTCTGCCGTGCTTCTTTCCAGTCTTTGCGCTTTTCATGCACACACACAGATTGCAAATGGAATCTCAGGGGCTTTTAAAAAGTATGTTTCATTAATGCAGCGCATGCACACAGGTGCATAAGGGTCCAGGTCGGCAATTCCCCAGAGGTTCCTGGGGGCYCAGTGAAGGACCCTTGCTGTGAAACAGCAGAGTCGCCCTTCCTGGATTTGAAACCTCAGCTGGGGTGTGAAGTCAGCTCATACACAGCTCACGCCCAAATTAGCAGTGCGCCGAGTTGCCAGTACATTTTAGACAGGGTTATGACCTTCCCATTCTTACTGAACAAACTGTCTTGAATGTTGCTCCTATGAGAACTCTTTGGATTTGCTTAAAAACGAAAAGGTACCCTCCACATTAAAACAGGATCTTTTTTTTATGCTTGTGGTCTTGAGGGATGTGGTTTTAACCCAATATTCTGTGTTTTATTGGCCAAATGTATATGGATAATCTATAGCTGAGATATAAATAAAATCCATGTGATTCAGCAGGAAGGGATTGAGTATTGCCATGGCTGGTTTCTATGATTAGCTCTGACCTTGGACAAGTCTTTTAGCTCTGCTGGGCCTCAGTTTCCTTGTTTATAAATAGAGTACCAGACATTGAATGAGTGTGTGTGTGTGTGTGTGTGTGTGTGTGTGTGTGTGTGTGTGTCTTCCGGTTCTAACATTGGGTGAAAAACTAGTTTTTCCCCCTTCTTCATCAAGTATGGACCTTCAGCCAACATGTCCTCTGTTGAGAAGTCTCTCAATATGGAATCTTAAATTTTACTCGTTGCTTTTCCAACAGTGATCTCAATCTGCAGTTATCCAGTTATTAGGGTGACCCTTCCCTGTCTGCCTCTCCTACCATACTATCCTCTTCAGAAGATAGGAACCAGGACTCCCTGGGGTCATCCTTGCATCCCTAGTATTTTAGTCCACTGCCTGGCCTGTATTAGGCACACTACAAAAATGACTATCGCTCAGATAATAGATTTCTTACAGTTCTACCAAATTGCCTGGCATTTTCAAAAGATCTATAAGTGGAAACATCTCTTTTTTCAAATGAAGATTTTGGAAAGTACCCTGCAGGGTTTTTTTTTTCCTCCTACAGGGACCAACAGTTCTCTTTCTGGATGAGTGCAGACTATTCTTAGCTCATTTGTGAGGCTTTGGAGGGGTCCAACAGCTATTTACCTTGATCAGTGTAGATGCCTGTGGAGAAGACACCGAATATTAATGCTACTCATTAAGTACTTGATTAAGTTGGAACTATGCACAGGCAGTTGGAATACACACATGAGCACTCAGATTTAAATGAGGCCATGGGGTGTGTTTAGGGTGCAAATTAACCACTGTATGTGCCTTCAACCAACAATCTGGAAACATTTCTAATAAAAACTTCAGGGGATCGGTGTCTTTCTTAACTGCACAGAGCCTACATTACTTAAAAAGATGAATGGGAACTAGACACCTGGGTTGAGGAGGATTTTATTTTTTTCTAAATAAGGCCATTAAGAATCAAGGGTAAGGAGGTGAATGTCTAAGGCAGCATAAGGCTAATATCTACATACGTTTCTCTCTTGTCTGATGTGCAGAGAAGGAGAAGTTAAAAATAAGAWCCCATGTTTACAGAGGAAAATAGGAGTCTGGGGTTTCTACCTCTTCTTGGCAACTCTTTCCTCTCCCTCCCTTTTGTGAGAAGGATRGGTGCTCACTGCCCAGCCGCCTGATCCCCCTGGGTGCCACTTCTGAAAACTGTTAGTTTATGGAAAAAGCACAGTGCTGCAGAGCAGGCTGCTGCTTTGATGGTTCTTACTGAACTTCAAGCTGGAGTTAGGAGGCTCTTCTGGGATGCACCACACTCAGTGCCCCCCCCCAACATCTTAGTGCTATTGGAATGTGGAGTTATGTGCTGTTCCCATGAGCAGTGGCTCAGAGGAACATGGTGCTGTGAGAATGCACCCTTGGGATGTGGATTCAAGGTGAAGTATTAAGGATTTCTTCCCTGCTGATGGAGCCAGGGGCTGTCCCTTTGGATTGGGTGCCCTGCCCTTTATATTTTTCTGGGTAAATTCATGTTCACTAGTAAAAAGGCAACTTCAAGGAGTGAATTCAAAATGCTTGGAGCTGCAGGTCAGGACCTCTTACAGGACTCTGCGGATGAAGTAGAGGCTGACTGTCCCACCCTTGGCTCCAGTGGGACAAGGGGAGGCCACAGGTGCTGGGGTTTCTGTGCTTGGCACAGCTTGGAGGGAGCTGCTTCTCTCCAGGATGGATGCTTCTCAGATTTTGCATCAAGCACTTATTTCATGTCAGGGCCTGGGTTGCATCCTGTGTGGGGTGCTGATTGCAAAATAGCATCTGTCCTTAGGCACCTGCAGTCTAGTTGGAAAAGAGTAAATTGGTCTCAGTGGCTGGGGGTGGCATGTGCCTTAGCAGCTCCATTGTCCCTGCGCATCACTCCTCTCCCCATGTCATTCTAGTTAAATATAGCACTTTGTGCAAATCCTGCTTTAAGGCCATCTCTTGGTCTTCCCTTCTGATTAGATTGCTGCTCCGAGGCCCCTATAGACATAGTAGAGATGCAAAGTAGAAGGGAATAAGAAACAGAAGGATTCCGTCATCAGGGGCTTGAAGAGATGGGGAGGTTTATTTCTAGTCAGAAGGATTAAGAAAGTCTTTATGGAAGAGGTGCCACCTCTTCATGGTCTTAGACGATAGATTTAATTTTGTGTGTAGATGAAAGGGAATCAGGGAAAATACCCAGGCAGGGAGTCACTTGTGTAAAGGCTTGGAGCTGGCAAAAGTGGGCAAGTCCAGTGAGGAGTAAGTCTCGCTGAAGTGTGTACACTGGAGAGGAGATAAGTGGTGGAGAAGGGAGGTTAGCCGTCATCATGATTGTGATTGTTATGTGTTTTTTCTAATCAGGTCTCCCGGTCAAGAGTGGCCATAAACCAAGACAGTCACTCTTGGAGAGCCCTGATGGGGAAAGTCAGGTTCAAGTGTGCCATTCAGATGGGACACAATGAGGAGTGAATTCAAAATGCATGAAGCAGAAGAAATTTGTTCCAAGAGAAGTTGTTCTAAGAGAAATTAAGGGGCTGGGGTTGTGGCTCAGTGGTAGAGTGCTCGCCTAGTATGTGTGAGGCTCTGGGTTTGATTCTCAGTGCCACATATAAATAAATGAATAAAATAAAGGTCCATCAACAACTAATATATATATATATATATTAAATATGTATATTTTATATATATATATATTAAATATGTATATTATATATATATATATATATATATATATATATATATTAGAGAGAAAGAGAGAGAGAGAGAGAGAAGTTAGGAGGGAGGCCAAAGGGAAGTCTGGAGGTGGTAAAGCTCAGCCAGAGGATGGTGATGTGGAGAAAGACAGACAAATGGTGGGGTGGGGAGGGGAGAGAGAAATAGAGAGAGAATGTATGGGACTATAGCATTATCCCTTAGTTTTTTGGGGGTTGTGAATTGGCTAATTTAAAGAAATAAATGTGTGTGCATGGAGGGGGACTTATTTACACAGATCTGACATTAGATTTTACTTTGGCCAGCAGCTATGGATATGTTGGGTTTGGGGTCAGTGGAATGAGGAACATGTAGRCCAAATGGCAAAACCCACATGGGGAGGGAAAGTTTTAAGTAGGCCCAAGGTGGTTGGGTATAACTGGATTTTCAACAATTTATGTCAGGTCTAAAAATGAAAGCCAGAGGCACCAACTACATGCAACGAATTTGTGACTTGGGACTATACTGTGGAGCACCTTGGCTGCAGAGCAAGCAAGAGGGAGTCATTGGAGGTKATGACTAAAGGAATAATGTACGTGGAGTTCCACTGTATTTTCTTCTTCTTTTTAAAAATTTGTTCTAATTAGTTATACATGAYAGTAGAATGCTTTTGGACACCAAGTACACAAATGGAGCACAGCTTCTCCTTGCACTGGCTGTACGTGGTGCAGAGTCACACTGGTAATATAATCAGACCTGTATATAGGGTAATAATGTCCATCTCCTTTCCATCCCCACACCCACTCCTCACCCCTCTCTCCTCTCTGTCTGCACAATTCAAAGTTGGAACTCCACTTTTAATGGAAATGGTTTGGAGAGATAGGAGACCAGATAGATGATTCTATTAATCTTGGCACAATGTTACTGAGAGCATGACTCAGGTTGCYAAGACCACATTGGGAAGTACAGGGCTGTTGGAAGACCTAAAAGTTTTGCAGAAGTGGGAGGTAGAGGAGTATCAAAATGGTAGAAGTGCTCAGTTTTTGTTACAGAGACTGGAAAATCAGGAGGAAAAGCTTGGAGGAGGAGAGGGTGAATGGTGTTCAGATCAACCATCAAATGGACAACTACCGTGGACTC